TCCCACATCACCACACTCAAAACACTTCAGTTGTCCCGAGCTCGCATACACCATATAAGAAGCGTCACCGTGTTTCACTCGAAAGGAAACCTCCAGAGTCTGTGTGGGCGAATCCAAAAACATGAACACCTGACGCCGCAAAGATTGACATGTTTCAGTTTGGGATCTTTACACCCTAGACTCACAGTTTTGAAACCACTCGCAAACTTCCCAAACCTGCGGAGTTCGTTCTCTAACAAGTCGTTAGAAATAAACGGCGGAACACCGGATACGGTGATCCGCGTAGAGGGAACCGACAACGGGGAAACCTGCACAAACAAATCCCTAATGAACACACCACTCTCAATCAGCTGATACACAAGAGGCTCACTCTTCAGAAAAACAACCACAGCCTTGTTCATTCGGGATGCATACAAGAGTTTCTCATGGCCTACCTGTTCACCTGCAGCTAACAGAACCTCCTCCACGGTGACAGTACCGTTCGGAGGGACTATCCGAACTCCCTGTCGGAGAGTCGGAGGTGGCGTCTCAGCAGACGCCATTCCTCCCTCCAACCCCTCCAACGATCTGTCTTACACAGCCAACAACACTCAATACAAATATGAAAACAAACTGACCTGATCGTGCACTTTGAAAACAGTAGAAAGGATAGCAAACAATTCAATCTCCGCGCCACTCGCAACACCACCACCGTCACTCACACTCACACTCACACTCACCGGAAACCGGAAACCGGAAACGGAAACGGAAACAGGAGAGGAGAGGAGAGGAGAGGAGAGGAGAGGAGAAGGGAAGAGAGGACAGGAGAGGAGAGAGACAGAGGAGAGGAGAGGGGAGGAGAGAGGAGAGGAGAGTGAAAATGAGATATGGATGGTGTAGAGAACAGAGGTAAAAAGGCTGGAGATAAGAAAGGAGAGACAGAGAAGAGAGAGAGGAAGAAGGAGGAGAAAGGAGAGAAGGAGAGGAGGTGAGGAAGAGGAAGACATAGCTGACAGATACTTTCCCAAAAATCCTACAGCTATTGAGATGATTTGCCCCTCAGAGCAGCTCTGCCTCTGGGAAATATTTGTGCCACTGAAACCTCAATCTGTGTGTGTGTGTGTGTGTGTGTGTGTGTGTGTGTGTGTGTGTGTGTGTGTGTGTGTGTGTGTGTGTGTGTGTGTTTCTATTGTGTGTGTGGTAAGCTTCATGATCTCTCCTGCAGTGAGATGGAGACAGTTGTGTAATAAGTTGTGATCTCAGCAGGTGATTTATTTCTCTCTCTGTGTGTCTTCTCCTCTCGAGCTCTTTAGTCTGTTTCAGAGACTGAATACCAAAAGAAACACTCAAGTTTCATTTCTTCTTTTGTCCGTGCATGAGAAGAATTGCTGAATTGACTTGCACAAAACTCCTGGAAAAATTAACTCTGAATGTCTTCTGCCGGCCTTCTCAACACATAAAAAGGTGGAATAAAGAATCCTCCTGTTTGAACTGCTGGAGCAGAGGTCGCAGCTGAAGGGCTGAAAATGACTTTTCAAATATAAAAGAAGAGCAAACAGCCGGCCTCGCCCCCCCTCCTCACTCTCTCTCTCTCTGCTCAATAATCACCCGTCCCTCTGAGCAGCTGGATTTGCAGCATTTTGCTGTTTAGTTGTTGTATGAATTTGTGTGTTTTTGTCTCTGCATCGTTTATTCTTTTGCAGCTTGTTTGTTGTTGATGCAGTTGTTTCGTCGTTTTGCAAAAACTTTTTCATCCAATTTTCCATCATTGCATTTTTTGGGTCTATTGCAAATGTTTTTGAATTCGCATCCTGTTTATTCCTAATGTAGATCGGGTGTTTGCAGGTCAGGCCCTTGTTGATATCATTGATGATATCAGAGCTTTTCTGACCTCCTGATCAGGTGTGTGTGCACAGAGAGTAAAATCCACTGCACACACTCTTTTATAACACGTGCTCGCTGCAGTATCATCATCTTTAGTGTTGATTCCAGTGGTATATACCCGGTTTAGTTTGCTCCCATATATAAATTTTAATAAAATGCATGTTTGATTATTTCTCTGTGGAGAATTAAAGGTCAGAGGTCACTGTCAGTGTGTCTGCTCTGTTTCCTGAGCCCATATCTCACTGCAGATGTTGTTACGTTAAGTGAATTAACTGCAGCGATGTGGAAGTGATTCACATGTGTTTCTACTGAGAGAGAGAGTGTGTGTGTGTGTGTGTGTGTGTGTGTGTGTGTGTGTGTGTGTTTGCATTTTTGTTTATCGTATGGAGTCTCCCTTTCATCAACATCAGCTGCACATGACTAAAAGCATCCATGTATACATCCCTCGGCAGCAGATCATTGTGTTTGTATGTGCATGTGCACAAACGTTTGTGTGTGTGTGTGTGTGTGTGTGTGTGTGCGTGTGTGTGTGTGTGTGTTTGAAAACATTTGTATCAAGCAGAACATTTCCTGATTGCATCCACATTGTTTATGTTTCCTTCATTTTATTGATGTAGATATAAAATAGAGTTAATAAGTCAACTCTGCGTTTGTGTGTGTGTGTGTGTGTGTGTGTGGTGTGTGTGTGTGTGTGTGTGTGTGTGTGTGTGTGTGTGTGTGTTTTGTGTGTGTATTCCAGCAGATTAATTGCTGTCTCTGCATGTGTTTGGGGGGTTAAGTAATCAGGGTGTGATCCATTTGAATCCGCTGCCACCTTAGGGAGGGTAAGAAATGACTTTAGATATCGTGTGTGTGTGTGTGTGTGTGTGTGTGTGTGTGTGTGTGTGTGTGTGTGTGTGTGTGTGTGTGTGTGTGTGTGTGTGTGTGTGTGTGTGTGTGTGTGTGTGTGTGTGTGTGTGTGTGTGTGCTTATTTTGGCCACACAGTCTTTCTTTCTTTTTAACATCAACACAACAGAAGGAACGATTGAGTATGAGAACTGCTAAGTTGCTCTTTCACGTCTCTCACCTCCTCTCTCGCTCTCTCTCTCTCTCTCTCTCGCTCTCGCACACACAGCCACACACACCACACACACACACACACACACCTCTCTCTGTTTGAGGAGAATACATATTTATTCTCTCTTGTTGTATTTGTTTGTTTGGGTTGTTATATCTCGGGGGGATTGGAATAAATTGTTGGTTTAGAGAGCTGGACGCTGTTGTTTGTGTGTGTGTGTGTGTGTGTGTGTGTGTGTGTCTGTCTATGTGTGTGTGTGTGTGTGTGTGTGTGTGTGTGTGTGTGTGTGTGTGTGTATTGTGGGGATTTGTCACTGATATTGTTTGCAGCATATTCTGTAAAGATTTATGATGTAGTTTTTAAGTGATATAGTTATATAGTTAGTCATCATGTAGTTATTGTCAGGAACCTGTAGTGAAGATAAACTAATTATACATAATATCTACAAACAGTCTCCCGTCCCTCGTGTAGTTTAGTATTCTTGGGACCTGCTTTAGGTGATGGACTAAAGAGAAACAATCCAGAGATGAGAAGAGCCACAACACTTCATGTTCAGTCTGACACTTGATTCCACGAGGCCGCAGGTGATTGAAGAAAATGGGATTTTTTTATGAGAGAGAAATAGACGGTGAGGAATGTGAGCAGAGAGCATGCAGGGAGAACTCTCTCAGAAGAAAGAGGTCGTGCTGACGTTTGGCTTTTCTTTCACGGCGTGTTTGTATAAAATGTTGTAGTGTGTGCGACAAAGCTCACGATAATCTGTGATCACACTGAACGAGTTAAAGGTGGAGTCAGTTTGTAAACACAACATTCAAACTGGACTCCTCCTTCTGAGTTCATCGCCCCCTGCAGGATGTAGTGTGTACGTTTACAGCTTGTAGCTACACTGCAAGCTAACGCACGCTAGCACAAGCTAACCGCCGGTGTTTGTCACCTTCCTGTCCAACAGGAAGTAGATCAACTCCACGTCCACGGGTAAAAGACAACACAAGGTTCACCCTCGTTTTAGAACGAGCTTTATCCACTTGGTGTTTCTCCTCACTCTCATTATATTTTCTCTTTGTCGCTACCTGTCGATCATGACGTCCAATCTCTGAATTGTATCCACTCCTAAACTCACCTGCTGCGCTCTCATTGGCTGGAGGAAACACACCAGCTCAGTTCAGGAGAGGGGAGGGGAGGGGAGATGAGAGGAGAGGAGAGGAGAGGGGAGGAGAGAGGAGGAGAGGGGAGGAGAGGGGAGGAGAGGGGAGGAATCTGAAGGAGGTTTTTTTTTTATCTCTGGCAGCGATCCCCCGAGGAGTTTCAGTGAGGGCAGCGAGTCAAACTAGAGCTTAGAGCAGAGATTCATAACCCTGCAGTCAGGCTGAGCAGCATACGAGAGGTCGCAGCGATTTCTTCAAACAAATAAAAACAGAAATATGAGACGCTCCATTCTGTGATCCAATCTGCATGTTCATCTTTAAACACTGAGTTTAAAAAAAAAATGTGCTCAAATTCATTTAGAGACATAAAAACTGAAGACCAGAAAATACTGAAGCGCAAAGCTCAATGTGTCCACTATGTGGCGCTCTTTGATGTTTTTTAGGAGGTTTGACACTGCAGAAAGAAAACTCTAAACCTCTTTGTGAGGTTAAAGTTCAGAATGAATCTACAGTAATTCAGCAGAGTTATAATAAATCAGAATGTTTCACTCCTTACCATTCAGTAGAATCATTTCTCCTACAGAACTCTCACTGTGTTTATGAGCTATGTGACGTTTGCATGACATTTAAGGGCAGCAGAAAGCTCAGTCAGTGTGTCAGGAATTGTTACAGGAACATGTTAGTTGCCTTTTTCTGACCACAGCACTTAAATTAGTTTATGTCGTCATCACGACTGCATAACTAGGACGTACAAATGTCGGAGGAGCACGTGAAGGCAGCGAAAGCTTTATGTTTGACTGAACGGCATTACTAGCCAATGACAGCCCAAGAAGATGAAACTATTGTGGTAAAAATGAGTCCTCAAATGTCTCTCACATTGAAGGAAAGCGAGTCTCCCTTTAGTCACCATCAGCTGTTCTCTTTGTGTTTTCAGTGAGAAGTTCATGGTGAGACTGAACAAGAACGGAGGACCCAAGAATCCAGAGAAGGTGGACAGGCTGTGCGCCCTCTTCACGGTAACACACACACACACACACACACACACACACACACACACACACACATCTAAAAAAGAACATTTGAATTTGAAGATAAATGTGAGGATGTATCGCCCCCTGCTGATGACTTACAGAATCAGGACGAGGAACTCCATGACAGATGTGTTCACTCTGTTTGTTTGTTCGAGGCTATACTACAAAAAACAAGCCGACTCACATCTTCAAAATAAATCATGGGAGTCAACGTTATAATCTTAAATTTACAGCATCTGACAGGAAAGACAAACAGATTTATTCAGTTAACATAAAGAAGACAGAAATATAAACAAGACTCTCTGATCATTGGCTGGTTGGGACGCTGCCCTTTAAGGAGGTAAAGATCATCACTCAGACGTCAAGCACTGACTGATTGGGGCACCAGTAGCCTCGTGGTTAGTGTCTGCACCCCATGTACAGAGGCTTTAGTCCTCCAAGCGGGTACCATATGTACC